ATTTCAGATGCAAATTTTTTAATATTTAGTTTTAACCTTATTGTGTTTAATGTATTAACTAGAAAGAAAAATTTATTTAGTGTATTATATAGGGTAAAGTAGAATTTTTTATAGTATTTTTTTTTAATATGTTTGAAGTTTTTAGAATTATTTTTTTGTTGGGAAACGGAAGGAGTATCAACTGAAATTTTTTAAAGGTTTATCATTTATTGATATCAATTAATAAAAAGTTCATAAAAACCTAAAAACTCATTATTTATGAAACAAAAATAAACCTGAAAAACCAATCTTAGCAGTCGTTATTTTCACACCCAAAAAAAAAAAAATTAATTACGCTAGTGGCTGAATTCCTCACAGGTGCTGTTTAGATAAGGAAAACGACCCTTCCATCATCATTAATTTCCTTTTGTTTGTTTGTTTTGAGTTCACTAGTTTATTGCGCCTTTTTTTGTTCTTTCTCAAAGCCTATACAGTTTCAAAGCCAACTCTACCCAAAGGCCAAAGTACTTTTTTTTTTACCCAAAGTACATTTTAATCTAGTTCCAGTGTATATAAAACAGAAACAGAACAAATTTTAGTCGTAACATATCGTCATCATGCATTGATAAGTTTAGTGCGTATGTTTCTCTTGGCAAAAATTGTATAGGCTGGTGCACCGAGCACTTGTTTTATGCAGGAATAACTTTTTTTTTGTTAGCTTTTTGGGTAGAGAACAAAACTATATACAAATAGATATTTTAGTAAGAAACGACGATTTGAGTACTTATGATAAAAGGATTTAACTATAAATAGACAACGATCTTGTTTGTAGCATACGGCTAATTAAAGATTAAAGAACCTCTTAGAATTTATACGTATAAAATTGATTTTTTTTCAAAAATATCTAAATTTGAACTCTAATATTGAATTCATAAGTCTTATAAACTCTTGATCAACCAATATAAGTTTTGTACAATTCTTAATAGACTTTAAGTAAACAAAAATAATTAAAAGATTGATGCTGTAAACAAACAAATATAAGTTAACCTAGTTAAAAGAATGAAGAGAGAAGAAAAACAGAAAAAAATCGTAATGCTTTGATGTAGTATTTAGTGGATAAAAATAATAATGGGAATAGAAAGAAACAAAAAATTGAGTTAAAGAACAAAATTTGATAAGAAAAAGAATCGTTGAAGCTGGAAAGCTACGAGGACCAATGAAAAAAAAAAAGAATTTAATTTACTTGTACTACCCAAACCTATCAGATTATTATTGCATCATGCAACTTCCAATGTAGATGTCGACACTTGTGCAGTGTAGATGTCGACGCAAAATGTGTTCATTCTCAACTGCAAATATGTACTGTATCTCATTTTTTTCAATGCAATTACTAAGGTTCAATAATACAAGCAATGATAATTTTTTTTTTTGCGGTAATTGGAGACCGAGAGATAGTGGTAAGAAATGTAGAAGGAAAAAAGTACAATAAAATTGTCAACACGATCGTAAAACTAAATCACATTTTTTTTTAAAAAAAAATAGTTTATTTGGTCTCGTACGTTGCAGCTTTTTTTTGGTGGGGGGGGTGGGGGGGGGGTAATAAATATATAAGTTAATATTGCTCCAATAATTGAATTGAATCTGAATCTCAACTAACTTAGAATATAGTTAAAGTCAAATCTACATGTTTATGGGTTTATGGACGTCACATTTTGTGTCCTCTCGCGATCGAGCACCCTCATCTATGACTATGCCAACAAATTTGCAATATATATAGAATCTACAACTACAACTAATACTTCTTCTTTCTGAAAAATAAAGAAATGTATAAGTGAAAAATCAAAGCCGACAATTTATAGTCGACTAAATTATAATGGGATTTCGTATAATTTAAAAATTATAAGACCATATTTTCTTTGGCGAAAATAAAACAATAAGAATACTATCATTAAAAATCCATAATTGGTCTCCTCATACATACGCAAGAAGGAGATTAAGGGACAAACGTTAGTCAACTTTGCCTTTTGGAGGAGACTTAAGCCATTGTCACTCTGTTTAATCGCAGAGGCTAAGGCTTAAACTTGGCCTTAAGTACACTTGTAAAGCTATTAAGTCTATTCAGTTTTGATTTTCTTACAAATATAAAAAAATATCAGATTTTCATTTATGTCGCGAAGATTAAAGGCCAAACTTAATTATTTCAATGATGTTAAAAACGAGGTTATCAGTTTAGAGCAATCTAAAAGCAAAATCTTTTCGGCCCATATAATTAAATTTATTTAACTCATAAAGTGAGAAATGCGGAGAAGGGAAACCGAAGAGATGATCGTAGATACTAATTGTTCTCATATTCTTTTTTTGGTAACTTATAAAAATGGTACTAATTTCCGAATTAATAGCCCCACCACGTATATATCTAGCTAGCCTTACCACATGCATGGTTTGGTAGAAAATTTCTAAAATGCCCATAATCGTTTTCTTTTTTTTTTGAACCTTCATGCCCATAATCTGTAACACTTATTTCATGGATAAAATTAAGTTTTTGATGGTTGTTCAATTAGTTGAACCGAGTGGTATTATTACATTATTACTCAATGTTTTCTTGTATGTATTATTGAAGAATATCTGTATATTAGCAAAAATATTACTAAGAGCTAAGAGATATCGACGAATTCTTTTTCTTTTATACACAGAGCTAGAAGTTCAGATTTGGATGATGGGATGCGTGTTATGCATCATGTGGCAACCTTCTTTTTTCAGATAGATTCTTTAGAGTTAGTAAAGATGACGACATATCTTACGGATTTGTCTGCGTTCTCGACTCAAATAACAAAGTTTTTGAGCCTGGAAGCAAATTTCGTATGTTCTTTGTGTTTATTTGTAAAAGCAAATCTATATGATACATAGTGCTAACTCTCGCTTTTGTGATATACTGATATTCTATTATGGTTTTAATATAATAAGACATATAGAGAAAGAAATTAAGAAAATCATTATACCACGCACATAGACATATTTATATGACAAAGTATCACTATAATTATATATTTATATGACAAAGTCGTTGTTAGCTTAAATAAAAAATGTACTAACAATAATAGTATTATAAATTGTAATAAGTTTGACAACGAAACATGCATCCGACTATTAATAAACTAGGTAATTGGTTACTATATAATTTTGAGAGAATTAAAAAATAAATAAATTCAGGTTACTTCCGTTTCAATGTCTATATACTCCGTCGTCAATAATTTACAGCAACTCATTACGTACATATTGGTTAGATGAATCACTGATTACATCAACCCAAAATAGTTTAAACTTTAGTTTATGAAATATTCAAATCGTGTATTTCGAGCATTCTCAAACTCATTATAGCGCTAAACTTGCAAATTTTTTATTTAAAAATTATTTTTACGTCAAAAAAAAATGAATGCCAAAACAAAATAAATTTTATCACAACAGAGTTGGTAATATAAAGACTTCTACAATTTGTTGCCATTTTGATATAATCTAAATAAAAAATAGTTGCCATCAAACTCAGCATCGATATATAAATAAACTAACTTTAGAAACATAACATCTTATAAATGTTCTATACATACTAGTCTATAGATTATACACATCATATCCTAGCTGAACATTCTAATTATTAGTCATCAATGGAATTACAATTTTTTTTGTTGGCTATTAATGCTAATTTCTGTATAATTATACGATTGCTTTTGTCTTGAAACAAAACCAGTAGTTTACTTGGGATCTGATGCGAATCACTTTTAGAACTCTTCTTCCATTTGTTTTAATAAGTATGAGTGACGCAGTCTCTAGTTAAATTTCCTAGATTGGGAAAATATCCACTGATAGAGCAGATCTTTTTTGATACCATATAGGTTATACTAGAGACATTTAGAAGATAGTATTCAATATGGTTCTAAAAAGAGAACGTTATTGTTTTTATATTTCTCTCACTGATGTATATGGTTTGTTCCGTATCATTTTTCTAGAGTGCTTATATAAGTAATTTTTGCAAAAAAATCGTACAACTAAATAACATATGAAATCATTTTTTTTAATCGATAACATATGAAATCATTAATCAACTTGTTTGGAGTTTTATCACACAAACAAACTATTTAACGTGTTGGATACACCACATTTGTAATAAATCCAGAAAATGTATATATCGATGGTGGATGGTTTGCCATGTATTGTCATAACTTTTTCTTAACTTTTAACTAACCTTTATCACTGCTTTTTGTTGGTTCTACGATTCGATCGATCAAGAACCACTCAGAAACTACTTTTACATCTGTTTCGATCTCACAAAGATTAATTTCACTTTAAATCCGAATATATGTATGTGTTATGTGTGTGCACCGAGTGAGCAATGACTCAGTTTAAGTAATTGGGTGGACAGAAAGAAAAGATGAAACGAAGAAATTTGCCTATTATTAGTATAGGTTCACTGGACGGTTGATAATGTTCCACCTTTTTTCCCCCTCATTACATCTTATCTTTACGTTGTACTCTAAAATATTTCTTACAATTGAAATTTTTTTCTTATATCTTTTTCCGGGAATTCATGAGTGTTGAGGTAAATAAATGAAACAATGACATCTTTTAATTAAATCACAGTGATGGAAAACAATTGATTTAAATCACAATAATTGACGATATTAGTTATGTTGTTGTTTCTTCGACATCCAAAAAAAAAAAATTTAAGATTGTTGAATCGTTAAAAAGAATGCTAAAAATAACAGAAAAAATAATCTCTAAAAAACTCATTAATCAAATCAATAAAATACCGAGAAAAAAGTAAACATAAAAAAACCTATTTATAAGAAAACTTAAAAACCCTAGTAAATATAAATTCTTATAATAATCTAACTAAATAAATAAAAGATGAATATCATAAGATACGCTCATCATTATCACATTTACTTTGCCTCCGATAGAAAACAAATTCATTTACACATTGGCACGATTTTTTACAGTATTATTCGATAATATTAAGAACTTTGTTAGATCTTGAAGTTCAAAACTCTGGTTCTCACAGAAAGAGGGATTCTGACATTGTGAGCTCCATTGTCAGTCCAAGTCAAGCTCCCAAAAAGATAATCAGTATTCGTTCTATGAGTCGTGGAGACTTTCACCTTAAATGTAATCTTCTTGGCGTTGGAACCGAACTCAAGAGTCTCAGGAGTCACCTGCACGTTAATACCTTGAGGCGGTTCGATCAAAGCTTTGTAAACCGAACCAACAGGTCCAACATTGGTCACGGTTCTAGTTATGGTGATCTCTTCACTGAGATATGGGATTGTGATGGAAGGCAAGTTGACATCAAGCATGGATGGAGTTGGAGAAGGGCAAGTGTAGTTTTTTCCAAGTAGTTTTGAGATGGATCTATCGTCGTAGCCTGCGGAGCACAAGTAATGAACATATTCATTGTAGCCCATGTCGTAGACAAGTCCCGGGTCCGCTACTTTCCCCGGGTTCACAAGGCCGCCTCCGTAGTCAAATGGATCAGCAAGTTTGCGTGGGGAACCCTCCGCCGCAATAGGCTCTCCCGATGGGTCCGATTGAAATGCTGCAATGGTTTTTCAGTCATTCACCGGTATTTCTTGGGTAGCAAGAAAACAATATTTTTGCACGAGTAAGAGTATATGAGTTTTACCGGTAGTCACAAGAGCGGATCGGATCGCAGCAGGAGACCAGTCAGGGTGTTTTTTCCTAACAAGTGCGACGATTCCTGACACGACAGGTGTAGCCATTGATGTCCCCGACATGAATTCATATCCTGCCGGAGATGGTACGGCTGCAAGTATACCGGCACCTGGTGCTGCTATATCCGGCTGTACTTAAAACCACAAGCCAACTTCAGTACCGTGCAAGACAAGTTAAATGTAAGAAAGCAAAAAGTAAGTTAGGAGTTAATATTTCACCTTGAAAATGGCAGGAGATAGTGAATTGGGACCCCTAGAAGAAAATCTTGAGACCTTAGACGCTGAAGGTCGACCAACGAATGTCTTGGTTGGGCTGATCTTAGCCTTTGGATATCTGCGGAAATCATTCAAAGAGAAAATAATCTCTAGTGCATCAAAAGATCATAATTGGGTTACAAAGAGAGCAATGTGAAGGAGGAGAAACTTACGTGGTTGTTTGGAGATACAACAAAATGTCCATCCCAAGTTCGTAGTCTACGTAGGCACATGCAATAGAGGCCGTGCACGGTTCGACAGTATCAGTTGGCTGTGTCGCGATAATGACGCCAACGGCGCCTTTTGATTGTACAAAAGTCACAAAATCGTCTGCAAATTTTACTGTTTGGAACGAAAACAAGATTTTTCCCTTAGCTATACCGGCTTGAAAATCCTCTTTTTTCAAATCGTCGAAGTAAAGAAGATCAGCGAATCCGACTTCTTTTCCAATGTATAGACTTTCTTGACCCTAAGAATGAAATCCCACAAAACTTAATTAAAGAAAAGGTTACAATTGTTTGTATCACAAGCAACCTGATACGTACCAGTAAGGTTATATTGTTTCCAAGAGTGATGGGCGTGAAGAACTCTCGATCCATGGTCATAGCCGCGACAGTTATGATCCACGGAGCAACGTTAGAGATGGTTTGAGATTGTGGACCATCGTTCCCACCAGCGCAAACCACAGGGATTCCCTTCATAACAGCATGGAAAGCAGCAATTGCGAAATCACTCCTATCAACCTCGAAATCAAGCGGGATTTCAGATCCGAGTGAGAGCGATAGAACATCGACGCCATCGCGTATGGCATGATCGATTGCTTTTAGAATATCCGGTGTAAAACACTCCTCGTTGTTCCAGCACACTTTGTAAGAGGCTATACGGGCCCGTGGAGCACTGCCTCTCGCGGTTCCCTGAGCTAGACCGAGGAAGTTCGCATCTTGGACGAAAGAACCCACAGCAGTCGATGCACAATGTGTTCCGTGGCCGACTTTGTCCAAAGGTGAGAGGACCTCGTCTTTCGCTGCGGCATTGAAAGTCCCATTGTACTTTGTGAGGAGACCCTTTGCATAGTACGTAGCTCCGATCAACTTTCTGTTGCAACTAGATGCGTTGAACGCTTCTCCTGAAACGCATTGTCCCTTCCAACGTGTCGGGATCGGTCCAAGACCAACGTCATTAAACGACTTTGAGTCTGGCCATATTCCTGAGTCAAGGATTCCTATGATTGCATCACTTCCCATGTCGGTTTCTTGGAAGAGACCGGTTGGAGCGGTTGGAGTGAGTCCCAAGTAATCATTAACCCTTGTTGTTTTCAGCTTCATATTCTTGCTTCTCGTTATGTGAACAACATGGGGATGCTCTATTACAAATCCAAATCCGAAGTGAATATTTGTTTCGTAGTTTGACCTAATTCTTGTGCAACACGTTTTGTCATAGAGAGTGGATTTAAATTTACCTGAGAGTTCCCTTGCTTGAGATGTTGTGAGCTTTGCTGAAAATCCTGAGAAACCATGTCTGTAACTATAAATTATAGACTCACGAGAAGCTTTTTTGCTGCATTATCAGTCAAAACATTTACATCCGTTAACCAATGTTGTCGAGTAACATTCATTTTTCACGCAATAATTATGATCTTGGGGACGATATACAAATGCTTATGATTGATTACCTTCCAAGAAGCGATCCGAGAATATCATGATGTGAATCAGTAACAAGTTTAGGATCATCATGTTGCCTCTCACCCAAATGTACCGTGTAAATCTATATAACATCACGTGGAAATCAAAATAGCGAAATGGTTCGCATTTAACGTCTCTCTCTTTTATCGCAGAAGAAAAAGATTCATAATAATGTACCTGGCTTTCTTCATTGGCAGCAGATGTAAGAGCTATCTTCAGGAAACATGCTAAACCTATGAACAGAACTACAATCTGCTTCCTATTGTTTGATACAATCAGAGATGACAACTCCATTTATTTTCTGGGTTTTAAGAGATGCGGAGGCTGATTCTTCTAGAAGAAGAATCTTTCAAGAATATTAGGGTTCTTATTCTTGAATCTCCTCAACAATGTCCTCTCTGATTGCATCCCAGCAGCATAATAATGATTGTGTTCAACTCATCTCGTATTTAAAATGAAGGATTTGGTTAAGAATACTGGGAGTTCTATTTTTTAGATTACAACGAAGATAGGCCATAACACCCAAGCTAAATTGTTAATTTGGGACTACTCTGGTTTATAGTTTAGGAGAAAACACGGATTTGTTTATTTTTTTCCTTTTTTCGGGTCAAACAAGGATTTGTTTCTTTTTATATAATTATCGGTGTAAAACGGTAAAACTTAAAACTGTTGTGTTTTTATTATCTGTCAAAACCATGATTTTAAGATACATATTAAAAATTATATATAAAAGTCCAATAGATTTTAATTAAAAAAGATATGATTTTTATTAAAAGAGATATCTGTCAAGCCAACCAGCGGCGATAGCAGCTCGATTCCCGAGATATAAAGTTCAATGATATATGTCAATTTACAGGTTTGATGATAGTTAAAAAATCAAATATATGTTTTTAATTTTAAAATATCAAATAAACTACTTCAATAATTAAAATTTATGGAAAATGGATAACAGTGATTAAAAAAAAAGTATTTCAGTGGAAAAGTAACAACGAAATAAGATAGAATAACATAATTAAATCTTCGCCTTGTAAAGATATTAATATTTGTAGGATAAACTAGATTTTTAGAATAACATAATCAGTTACGCTCGTCGTTTATTTCATATCAAAACGAATCTTGTTTGGATGACTGACTAAGTGGTTGTCAGTAATAAACTAGATTTTTACCTGTTTTTAACCTTTGTTTTTGAGTTTTTCTTAATCGAGTTAAAATATTTTTTTCTCTTTTTTTTCTTTCTTTTTTTACCTCTTTTGCACCTTCTCAAAAAGGACATCATTTTGAGTTAGAGAGTTGTCTATCACAATTTACAGACCAATACCTTGTGATGAAGACAAAAGGAAGGAATTATCAAATAATAGCTAGAACAGACCATTACAAGGTTATAGAGCATACAGAGTAAGTACTCGCAAGGAGAGATAAACCACTAAATTGATTCCGAAAACAGTTTTTCTTCCTATTAGGACACGGCAAGATCAGGTATGTGAGAACTGAAACAGATCTATCCAAAAGAGATAATAGATGGTTTAGCCTTCATTCACACTCATAATCTTCTTCATATCTACGAGCTACAAGTTTCTCCTATTCCAAAACGGTGTCTTCCCTGAAGCTAGCATAAAGGAAAATGATATAGTGTTTTTTCTTTTTCTTTATCTTGCTAACATAACAAATGAAGATGGTGTTTATTGTAAAAGTCTCACATCAGTAGTTGGAGAATTGTGAAGTAATATATAAAAGATAAGGGTCAATCAACTTATCGTCAATTAGTTTTAAGTTAGAAGCCCATAAATCCATATTTAATATAATAGCAGAGCCGCTCGATCTTTGGCCCCTCCACAGTTGGAGGTCTCTCTGTGGATGTTTGTTCCCATAAATTTTTACGCTTCAACTCTGATTGGTTTGAGCGTAAGGGGAAATATTGTGAAAATCCCATATCGGTAGTTGGAGAATTTATGAAATAATATATAAAGGATAAAGGCCAATCCACCTATCGCCGATTAGTTTTAAGTTGGAAACCCATAAACCCATATTTAACATGGTATTAGAACCACCCGATCTTTGGGTCCTCCCCGATTAGAGGCCTCCCCGTGAATATTTGTTCCCACAAATTTGTTGAAAAATTTATGAAATCTATTATATAATAAGAGAGTTTTCTCTCCATCTAGGATGTTCACATCAGCAAATCCATAAATATATATGCATTTATTACATATATATTTATTATTAATATATCAAGTATAATAAAATATAATAAAAAAGATTTTAATGTTAAAAAAAGAAATAAATGATAATTAGATATCAATAATTAAATAACCTTGTAATACTAACTAAATTAAAAATATTTATATTTTATTAAAAATGATATATTATTAAATTGAAAAAAAAATTAGAAAACAATGATAATTAAAAAAAAGTCAAAAGATAGAAAAAGATTAAAATTCAAAATATATATAAAAAAAGATGAAGACGAAATAATATCAAGAGAAAGAAAAACTAAAAGAAAAATAAGAAGAAGTAGAAATAGACGTCGAAGACCATGAAAAAGAATTAAAAAAAAAAAGAAAGAGATCACAAAACTGATGAAGAGAAATTTTAGAAATCATGAAGACAAAGATGTTATAGGTAACGAATGAGAACAGAAGATGAAGATAACAAACTATGAGAATATGAAGATGGAAAATGAAAAAACAAAATTTTTAAAAAATATAAAAGTACACAAAATAAAAATTAACAGAATTAAATAGTATAATTAAGAGAAATTTGTTGTTATATAGAAACACTAATAAGGATAATTAACAGAACAAATACATTAATTGTTAACACAAGACAAAAATATATATAAAAAAACCCATTAATACTAAAAAAATTATCAAACAAATTATTTATTAAGAAATAGCATATAAAACATATAAAATACAAACACAAATTAAAATCTGCGCGAATCGCGGAATCAACCCTAATAATATATAAAAGGTAAGAGATAATCAACTTATCACCAATTAATTTTAAGTTGAAAGCCAATAAACTCATATTTAACGTGGTGCCGACAATTTAGCTTCCAAAACTTTATTAACATTTTTCTTTCTTGTTATGGAGTTGAATCAAACTCTATTTGATATTGAGTATTGATCAGAGTCTGATTACGACTTCAGATTTATGAGCGAACGAAGAATACTGAAAACGATTCAGCCAAATGAATACGGCGATGCTTCTTCATTGTGTTGCGTGTATGTTTGCAAGATCGAGCAAATGACATGTTTTTTGGTTAAAGAACATGACATTTTAAAGAACATGTCATTTTAAAGAAAATGTCATGTCATTTTAAAGAACATGGCATTCTAAGATCATGATTTCAAAGAACATGACATCATTGTTAAAGAACATGACATGATTGTTATAGAACATGTAATTTTAAAGAACAGAACATGACACTAACATGTTAAAGAACATGGCATGATTTTAAAGGACATGATATGATTGTCATTTTAAAACCATGACATAACATGACATGACATGGTTTCAAAAAAAGAAACATGGTAAAGAACATGACATTTTTAAAAGCTTTTTTGTTGAAGAACATGTCATTTTATTTCACCACAAATTTCCTAAATTGAATGTTATTGTTAGTGTTCGCTTCGACAGATTACAGAAAGAAAAATGGAGGACCCAAAAAATGAATAAATTCATATAGTGGAAGATATGACAAAATAAAACTATCACAACAACGAAGAAGAAGAAGAAGATGACACCATTGGCAACTATTAAGAAAGTGTTAATTGTGCCAAACAAATCAGAGAGTAAGAGAGTGAGGCATCTCGATATATGAGGATAAGTAGAAACAATTAATAAACCCGTCCATAACCATAAGTATCATACACTAATTCTAAAACAAAGCATTAATTAATCTTAGAAAAATAATGCCCAATTTACTAACAACCTTTGGATTAGATATTATTTCCTAGAAAGCTGTTGACGACAGCAGTCCACAAAGTGAATTTGCGGTTATATATAGATTCGTAACTGTTAATCTCTTGGCAAACAAGTTAGGTGGAATAAAAAAAGTTAGGTGGAATGCCAAAAAAAGAGTCCCAAATTCAGCATATAATAAGTCAAACAAATCATAGGATATTGCATGTTTTTGTTTAAAATGGTAATTTGTTTATCTCTTAACTGTGTCTGTCTATTTTAAGAATCTGGTTAAATTGGTTTTTGATAGTTTGACCTGTTTCTTTTATATCTCTTTTAAATATGAGACAAAACAAAGACGCCCTAGCAGCTTGTGATGCAATCGGAGAATCATTGTTGAGGGGGGCAAGATTGTTGTTACCCTTCACATATCTCTAAACCCTAGAAATGAGGTATTCTTCTCTGATTGCAGATACAAGTTCTAAGGTGTGTCCTGTGGTCATCAGTCTACTGTTAATCCTTGCGGCACAAGTCAATGGCTTGAACAAGGTTTATTTCGTTTTTCTGCATGCTTTTTCAATTTATCTTTTGAGTGATGAATCTGATGATATGTGTCAAGAAACCTACTTGGTATAAAGGTTTTCTTATTTTTTACGGTCTTAAGGCTTTGCCTTATAAACACAATTGATAACCTAATTACAAAGATGTAAATTGTAAACTATACATCAATAAATCTAACATATCTCTCTAAATAATACGAACTATCTTTTGTCTTTCCGTATAATCCCAGATTCACATTGTCCACTTGGGAGCAAAGAAACATGATACACCTGAGCTGGTTACTAGATCACATTACCAAATTCTTGAACCAGTTCTTGGAAGGTAGGTATATTGTTATTTCTTACAATCCTTATGAAATAAGTGCAGAAACTGATGTTATACTCATTTTCTTTTTCTATATTTTTTCTGCCATAGCAAAGAATCTGCCAAGAAGTCTATAGTATACAGTTACAAGCATGGTTTTTCCGGGTTTGCAGCAAAACTTACCGCTTCCCAAGCGAAGAACCTATCAGGTAACGTCAAATGTTCATCGAGTTTATATCAATATACTTTCCATTAAACTCAAAAGTAGTTATATGCATAGCGTAATCAATTTTTTTTTTCTGACAGCTCATCCCGAGGTTCTTTCTGTTATGCCGAGTCGAGTACTGAGGTTGAAAACAACCAGGACTTTCGACTACCTGGGGCTTTTGCCTAGTACTCCAAAAGGTCTTCTACATGATACCCGCTTGGGTAGTGAAGCTATTATTGGTGTTATAGACTCAGGGATATGGCCAGAGTCAGGGTCATTCAACGACACAGGTCTAGGACCGATCCCAAAGCGCTGGAAGGGAAAATGTGAGTCTGGGGATGGATTTGACCCTAAAAAGCATTGCAACAAGAAGGTTATAGGGGCTAAGTTCTTTATTGAGGGTCTTTCTGCAATGAGGGATGGACAATATGATTTCACTGAAGAAAATGATTTTAGGTCCTCTAGAGATGGCGTAGGCCATGGAACACACGTGTCTGCAATAGCTGCTGGTTCTTTTGTGGAGAAAGCAAGCTACCATGGACTTGCTGGAGGAGCAGCTAGAGGCGCTGCTCCTCATGCACGTATAGCCGTGTACAAGGCGTGTTGGGCCAATGTTGGATGTATTACACCTGATATCCTTAAAGCCATCGAGCATAGCATACGTGATGGGGTTGATGTCATATCTATTTCGATTGGTACTGATGCGCCAGCGAGTTTTGATATTGATGAGAAAGATATTGCATTTGGTTCATTCCAAGCCGTGATGCAAGGCATCCCTGTTGTCGCCGCTGCTGGAAATGAAGGACCTAACGCTCAAACTGTTGATAACGTTGCTCCATGGATCATAAATGTAGCTGCTACATCCATGGACCGTTCTTTCCCAATGCCCATCACTCTTGGAAACAATCTAACAATCCTCGTATGACCCATTTTCCTGATTTCCATTTTTATTTTTATAATATCATGTTTTTTTCTTTTTAGTATGATTTGTGACACCAAGGCAGACTTTCCCTCGGGCAGAAGGCTTAGTGTGCACAAGTTGCTTTCAAAGACTTGATAGTCAATTCAATTCTACTTTTGATTGCATTGTTTTAGGGTGAAGGTTTAAACACATTTCAAGAAGTTGGATTTACTGATCTTGTATTATCGGATGAATTGATGGAGGCCTCAATCGCACAAGGGGCAACTAAAGGGCAAATCGTGCTTGCTTTTACGCCAAACTTTGAAGCTAAAGAAAAGGCGGAACGTGTAATGAAGGCCGGATGTGCTGGCATGATCTATGCGCAATCTGTACTTGATCCTACCGTTTGCAGTAGCTTCGATATTCCTTGTGCCGTGGTAGATTACGAATTCGGAACCGACATTTTATACTATATCCAAACCACAGAGTAATAGATCTTCACCATCTTTCTTTAATCATCTTTTTTTCTGTTCTTATTTTTATTTTCTATTTGGCACACCAACGATCTTGATTTTTCCAGGGTGCCTATAGCAAAGCTAAGCCCTTCAAAGACACTCATTGGCCGGCCCATTGCATCTAGAGTGGCTCGTTTCTCTTGTAGAGGACCTAATTCAGTTTCTCCAGCCATTCTTAAGGTTTGTGAAGCAAGTAACTCTCTTTTTATTTTCTTATAACACATTGGTGCAAGTATTGATCATTTTTTCGGTACTCTGCTGGATAATAATGCAGCCAGACATAGCAGCACCGGGTGTTAGCATTCTTTCTGCAGTATCCGGTGGGTATAAATTAATGTCAGGAACATCAATGGCGACTCCTGTTGTGTCCGGAATCGTTGGGCTACTCAGACAAATCCGCCCTAACTGGTCTCCTGCTGCAATCCGATCCGCTCTTGTCACAACAGGTTCTCACACTCCGAAACTATACTAAAAAATAGTGGTGTTCAATCAGAAGTTTCAGTTCGGTTCCTATAACCGGTTCTTGCGTTTTACCAAGAAAATAATTACCTAATTAACATAATTCGAAAATTTTATTTTCTTGTAGTGTTTCAACAATTTTACTAAACATATCTACTTTCTTCATTTTTCTCTTTATTGAAATGAAGCATGGAGGACAGATCCATTTGGAGAGCCTCTATTTTCAGAGGGATCAACGCGAAAACTTGCTGACCCGTTTGACTATGGAGGAGGCTTAATCAACCCAGAGAAAGTAACAGACCCGGGACTTGTATACGACATGGGCTTCGATGACTATGTTCATTACTTGTGTTCTGCGGAATACGGCGATTCAGAAATTTCCAAACTAATTGGCAAAGATTACAAGTGCCCTTGGCCAAAGCCATCGATGCTTAATTTCAACTTGCCTTCGATCACAATCCCAAGTCTCACTGGAGAGGTCACAGTGGCTAGAACCGTAACCAATGTTGGACCGCCCGGTTCAGTTTACAAAGCTATGGTTGAGAATCCTTTTGGTATAGAGCTTGAGGTGAATCCGAAGACTCTTGAGTTTGGTTCCAACACTACAAAGATTACGTATAGTGTGAGAGTAAGAACGAATCATAAAGTGAACAGTGATTTTTATTTTGGGAGCTTGTGTTGGACCGATGGAGTTCATAACGTCACTATTCCCGTTTCTGTGAGAACAAAGATCTTGAGGAATTATGGTTGATTATTCTTCATTTGTAACCATAGTTTTTTCTCTCGTAATAATTCAATCTGGATCTTGAGGTTCTTTGATGGATTCAAGTCTTATATTTCCATATATAAGTATAATATATGATCTAGTCTTCACCAATATCACGGAAGTATAGTTATATGTATTAGGTTAATTGAATAATACAGTATATGAGCGATCTTTGATTCATCAATATCACGGTACTTACCAACCGGTAAACCCATGTCTTTATTTTCATAGTATCAAAGCACGAAATGTAATCTCGAGCAGTGGAAAAAATCATTGACATGAGTTATAATAGAAAAAATTGTATAAATTTAATGGAAAAAGTAAAAAACAATCACCATTGATAAACATTTCAAAGATATACTTTACGCTCACTCATATTTTGAAATCGTTTTATCACAGTTTCATTTGTGATAGTTTCAACCACATGTTTTTCAATAAAACAAACTAGACAATCGCTTAAAAACTCATCACAATGCTATTATGCGAGATTATCTTCACAATTTTCATTGCAGAAAAACACCTTTCGACGGTTGCGATTGCAACAGAAAGAATCAAACATAGCTTCAAAAGACGATAGACCAAAGGATGAGAAAGATGTTTCCTTGTCTCCACCAATACACGAGCAAGATCACCAAGACTTACTATGTTAGTAAACCTATCATCCTTTTGCACATTATCAAGGTAGATGTCAAGTTGATGATCAAGTGATCTCCGCTCTACAAAACTAAAGTCATCTGGATAAAGCTCAGCCAATCTCACCAACTTTGACTTGTCAAATTGACGAAAAGAATCTATCGGACTTAAGGATGCCATACAAACAAGTAGCTTAGAATTCATCTCGTCAAAGCGATCATTAAACTCTTGAAGTTGCATATCTAAGACGGTGTAAAAACAATCCACCTTATAATGATGCAAGTTGGTTATACCAGTCTTTGTCCTTGGCTTTCTTGAATCAACAAACTCGTCCTCGACATTAGTCAATTCAGTTTCATTTTTGTCACTAAAAGAATAAACTTTAGCCACAAAACCATCCCATCCATCATCTCTAAGCTTTTGCAACTGTCGTTTAGTAGATTCCACCAATGAAACAGCATTCAAGATCTCTTGGTCTCCTTTTTGTAGAGCCTTTAATAAGTTATTAGTGAGTCCAAGAACAACAAGCATCATCTGTAGATAGAAAACAAAATCAAAGGTGTGAAAATATTTGAGGAGGCTATATGCTTGTTGTCTTTTGGTGCTCTGTGCCATAATTCTGAATATGTTCAAGAACTTCAACAATACACGGAAACATCTCAACAAGGCGTAATAATGTCTTATAATGTGAACCCCAACGCGTATTTCCAGGGTTTTCAAGTGATCGGTCTTGATTCAGCCCAGTTCCACTCTTTATTTCACCATTCTTGATCCCTTCATCCATTCTTTTGCGATTACTTTCAGTGAGAACTACTTTTCTTTTGCAAGAAGCACCAAAACACATTCAACAAAAGATGAATCATGTCAAAAAATTCTCCTACTTGATTATGTTTTTTTTGCAACAGCCACAACAACCAACTGTAATTGATGAGCAAAGCAATGAACATAATAAGCAGATCTACTTTCTTTCAAAATCAATGAGCGCAATCCATTGAATTCTCCTTTCATATTGATAGCTCCATCATAACCTTGTCCTCTAACCTTTTTTAAACTCAATCCATTTTTGACAAATAAAGAATCAATAGCATGCTTTAGAGTTAAAGAAGATGTCTCTTTCATATGACTAATGCCAATAAATCTTTCTTTCACTAACCCAAATTTATCAACAAAGCGAAAAACCACAGCCATTTGCTCTTTATCAGAAACATCAGCAGATTCATCTACCAACAAGGCAAAGACATCATTATCAATTTCTTGGATAACATAGTTACCTCTTCTGCAAAGCAATGTGCAATGTATTTTTGAATCGGAGGAGATGTCATCTGATTATTTTTAGGAGCATTGCTCCGCACAACTTTTCTTACAGCCTCATTCTGACTAGCTGTATATTTCAGAAGCTCTATGAAATTACCTTTGTTTGTTGAGACTTCTTTCTCATTATGAGCACGAAAAGATAAGCCTTGGTGTAACAAGTGTCTAGAAACATCAATCGAAGCACTCAAACGGATCCAATACTCATCTTTCATAATATCGTTTTGCTTATGTAAAGCATGCCTGATAGACTGACCTTGTCTCATCAAATCTTCACATTTATTTTTGGCATTGCTGTGAAAACTAGTATGATCACACACAAGTTTACTGAAGCTATCAGCCTTATTCCAGCTAGAAAAACCCGTCGATACAAAAGCATCACACCCACTTTGTTTTCCAACTTGAACTCTGAATAAGTAACAAAATAGGCAAAAAGCCTTTTCTTCTGACATGCTATACTCTAACCAATCAGGATACTGATCAAACCAATGTGGATTAAAGCGCCGCAATGCATTTCCTATTGACTTTGTTTAAAAGTATGACCGCGAGGTTGACAAGGTCCTCTAATCAAGTATTTGCGTCGTACCTCATCTCTTTGATCAGGATGATAATCTTGAATGTTTTTTTGCTTTGCTAGATCATGTGGTAAATCATCCAATTCAATATTAGATGGTGGAGATCTTCGTTTCAGAAACTGTTCCATTGTGTTTGACTCTTGAATGTTTTTTCGCTTTGCTGGATCATGTGATAAATCATCCAATTCAATATTAGATGGTGGAGATCTTCTTTTCAGAAACTTTTCCATCGTGTTTGACTGTTGAATGTTTTTTTCCTTTTCTGGATTTATATTAGATGGTGGAGATTTTTTTCCAGAAATTGTTCCATTATATTTGACATTACAACCTACATGTACACCAAAACAAAAATATGTTAATCATAATTTAATATTTAAAAATTTGTAGCATAATATATAAAAAATTGTATATTATTATCAGAAGCATGGATGATTGACGTCTATATTTTAAATTGCTTAAAATAGACAGTCAAGCAATTTAGCCACATCTTATTAGATTTTTAAAAATAAAAGGGAAGTTTCATATAATTACTTGAAACTTATCTTGCTGATCGATATACAGCTTCCCCTTTAAAAAAAAACACTAATATGGAGCTTAGTTTCTAAATTATATTAGAATGGGTCCACAACTTATAAATAATATTTTAAGATGAATAAATCTTATTTATAGTGAAAGTTTTCCTTCTAAACAACAGAACTTGTCGATGTGGGATAAGTACTCTTATGCAAAATTTAATATTTTTTTGAATACACGTGGGTCAACTGATCCAGGTCCAGCAAGCCTCCCTCCGCCACTGATTTCGAGGCTTTTTTGATTCTTGATTTATTTTTTTCTTTTGCTAAATTTTAGGTATTCATGAAATATTTATATAGGTGTTAGAAGTTGTGTTAACAAATTGACCGACCTCAAAACTTGGTCTCACGGTAAAAAATAAAAATAAAAAATAAAAATCATGTAAGCAAATTCAATAATGTATCACGAAGTAACGATAAAAGATGTCAAGTGGATAATAACAAAATGAATGACCAGAAAACGCCCACTTTGCGGATCAGACACTGTTTTATCTGGTAGCTCGAAAAAGACATTCTGTTAAAGAGTAGGAGGAGGTCCCAAAAAGACAGTCCTCAACGTCTATGATTCGACATACTCAGCTAACAAACTTAAAATTCTTGATTTTCTCTATTCCCTCGTTAAACGTTGTACTGATTTTGTTCTATGTGCATCAAAACAAAATGAGCGATCAAATTGGTGCAGCAAAGTTAAAAATCACCATCAATATTAAGAAAAAACCATCATCAAATTAAACAAATGGTTCTATTAGAATGTCCCACATCGATGAAATAGAAGATTTGTGGACAATATACAAGTGTGTGGCAATCCTTCACTCTTGAGCTACTTTTTTGGTATGAGTTAGACCCATTATTAATATGGTGTCAGAGTCCAATATTCTAATTTCTCGATTGTGAGACACACCCGTGGATGTCCAATCCCACAAACTTCACGCTTCAGATGTCCAATCCTAAGCGTAAGGGAGGTGTATTAGAATGTCCCACATCGATGAAATAGAAAATTTGTAGACAATATATAAGTGTATGGCAATTCTCCACTCTTGAGCTAGCTTTTGGATGTGAGTTAGGTCCATTACTAATAGGTTTCTGGGCTAGTAGCGAGTTCTAAGGAGCCTTCAAATATTGTGCGTCTTTGAGACCCCATTTCTTCCGATGAGACACTAGAATATCAAGTTTCTCGGTCATAAAAGTTATATCAAGAGGGCATATAAATAACGTTGATGAATTGCCCATGCAACAAGAAACTTGCTGAGATAATTCATTGTCAAATCAAACTCTTGACGACATTCTACTTATCGGCAAAACAATCGAGTATTTACATATAAAGAGGTTTCATGTCTAAAAATGCAAATATTCACTGTAATATCATGTATGTAAACAAAGGATATGGATTAAACAACAAAAAAAATTTAATATATATATATACACTATTATTTAAAGAGTCATTTAAAAAAAATATTTTATAAGTTATTATATGAAATGCCATTATGAATAACAAAGAATAATTAAAATAGAGAATACTATAATTATATTATTATTTAATTTTAAATTATTAAAATATTAACATATTCTGTATTTAAAAAAAAATAATTAATACAACAAATCTATTTAAATTTTTATATTATTTTCACTATAATTTGTATTATTGTATTTGAATATATATCAAAATAAAATTAAAATGGATTAAGTTTGAATTTATATTTCACTCTATTGCAAAACTAAACAAGTTCGTCCTGTTTGACAGTTCTATTTATAATAATTAGTTACTTATATTATAAATTTAGAAAATTATAAAAATAATTATAAGAAAATTATCTCGTGGGTTCAATCCTAGTATCATTTGAAACCAAATACATATATGGATTCACTTAAATAACTTGGAATGTATAATGCAATAAGTTGTGTAGTCAAGATTTCATTACATTTCCATATTAATTTATGTTGGGAATCAATCCAAAGTCCCACATCGGAAGTTTAGATTAATATGATCTAGTATATAAGTAATGTCCAACTCTAATTAGTATGAGGCCTTTTGGGAAGGATCCCAAAACTAAATCCGTGCGGGCTTTGCCAGTTAGGCCCAAAGCGGACAATATCATACTAATTGGGGGAGTTGGACATGGGCTTAGAAAAGCCCAATAAATGATATCAGAGTCTAGATCAATGAAAAGTGGACCTGGAGAAGTTGGATTGGACTGAATGTTTGGTGTGGGATAGAAACCCTCAAGATGACCTTGCGATTAAGAAGAACAAAATGGTACTAAGTATCGCTTAGATCAAGAGTTATAGGGTCTTTGGCTTGAGGGGGAGATTGTTGGAAATCAATCCAAAGTCCTACATCGGAAGTTTAGACTAATATGGTCTAGTATATAAGTAATGTCCAACTTCTAATTAGTATGAGGCCTTTTGGGAAAGAGCCCAAAACTAAATCCGTACGGGCTTTACCAGTTAGGCCCAAAGCAGACAATATCATACTAATTAGAGGAGTTGGACATAGACTTAAAAAAGCCTAATAATTTATACTAACAATTTTTGGTAGTCAGAGTTACTATTTTATGGTCAAACAATAGCCTAAATTGAACTATAAAAAGCGATGAAGAGTAGCTTCAATTTCACCATTAAAAGGAAAACAACAAAAAAATTGTGTTTAAAGAATGAAGAGTCTTTCCTTTAATTAAGCTTATGTGATTGGTTTCTCTATTTATCCTCGATACATAAGTATTCTTTCTTTTCATTATCTAGTTTAATACATCGAATCATATATGAATACTAGTTAATTTGTCCACGCGTCGCATGGACTATATATATATTTATCAAGTGTAGTTTTATAAATAAAAAATTTTAAGAAAATTAAAAAAAATTATTTCTGTTCTAAGTTAGAAGAATCCAAAATTTATAAATAAGCTTTTGATTTTAACAAAAGGGTTAAAAAATCTTTCTGAAATATAAAGATAAGAAATCAAAAATCCGAATCATATCTAGATATCATAATTAACGATATTTCATTAGACATATACATTTAATTTTTTTTTTTTCTACTTTTTTCTTAGCTTTTTACAAAATTTTTTGGTTTTATAAAATTATAGAAATCGAAAACCCTATAAACATAAGAAATCGTAAACATTATAATAATTAGCGATATTCTAGCACAAATTTCGTTTTTTTAAATGACATTCTAAATTTTATTCTAATCTTTGTTTTTTTAAACATTTTAGTTGGATTTTTTTCTAAAATTTCAGAAACATAAGAAATGGTAAATTTCTAGTTTGTGTTTTTTTTAAAAAAACATTTTTGTCAAATTTTTTTCTAAATTTGGGTTTAATATAAATTTAAAACGGTTTGATTGACTATAGAATTAAGCATTAAACCATAATTTAGACCAAATTATTTTTTGTGTTTTTTTTTAATGTTTTTATTTATTTTTTTCTAAATTTTGGTTTAATAGAAATTTAAAAACACTAGAAATGTGGCTTATATTTATACTAAACTATAAGAAATTGATGTCTAGATTTTAGTTAACATTTTAGTTAGATTTTTTAATTATTTTGAAGACATTAGTGATAACTAAGAGTTTTCAAGGCTCTTTATAAAGGTAATCAATCCCCTGTCTTGTAGTACAAGGGGTTTATCAATCCATATGTGGTGTTAGACACTAAACTATGTGATCAGGTTCTTAATTCAAGCAAACAAGAGTGATTTTGATTAACTAATGACAACTACAAACTTAAAAACAGGATTAATGACTAAAGAAGTGATCAAACAAAGAACTAAACAAATGACAAGTGATGAGAATGTATGTATGATGATGAGAAAGGTCTTAGACATGATAGTGGATTAGGGTTCCTTCAGTGATAAACTAATGAGCTAATGAATCACATGATCAAGCAAACCATTTAAAATCTAAAAACGAAATATTAAAAGAGAATACGAGAATTAAATGACGTAATAACTAAACTTAACGAAAATAACTAAAAATGATAAAAACGGATATTCTAATGCTTAAATGAAAATGAACTAAAAAGGAAAGACAATATTGAACTAAAGCTTTAAAGAAAATCGGTGTAAAACAATGGAGAAGAAAGCGTTGGGGTTCAGGGAAGTTTTCTCAGGGGTACGAACGATTCAAAACATTGCTAGAGAGGAAATTTTGTAAGATCTTAGCTTAAAATTTTCGAACTAGAGTCACAGAAGTATGAATACGCCACTGTCGTGATCATAGACAACTATCTCTCTCAACCCTGACCAGTAGGTTTCCACTCTGGCCCTGGAAGAGAAGAGATGCATTATGTTTAAGACTCGTCCTAATTCACAAATCGCCCATAGGTAGGTTTCCACTCCTATGTTTGTTTTGCTCTCCCAAACTAGATCTGATACCTGATGAACACTTTCGTGTCACCAAGCATCTGGATCAGATTGAAGTTCATGACGCTACTCTCATGCAGTAAAAACGAATTCAGAAGAAAAAGTTCTAAGATTCAGCTCAATAGCCAATGGAATCCTCACCGAACATATAAATCCTAATCGAAAATCCCTTAATCCCAACAATAAAACTACTCAGACATGATGAACGAAATTAAAGACATAATATTAAGAAATAGAATAGAAACCGAAATTGAAAAAGAAAGAACAAGGGTTCAAGAGAACAAATCTCTCTCTCCCTA